GATTTAGCTACATTTTAATTTATTTTTTTATGTGGAGTTCTTGGTGCTCTCTGAGCTTGGTATTTGCTTGCATTACCAACAAGGTAACATCATCAGTGCAAGGGAGCGTGGAGTTTGCTACCTGTTTATTATATATAGTAGCTTGCCCTGTCAGTTTTGGTGATGGTGTGGTTTTCTCCTTGGTGCTTCTTTGATTAGAGTACAGGTAGTCCTTGGTTAATAACTGACCTGTTTAGCGACTGTTCAAATTTATGACAGCACTGAAAGAGCAGCTTTATGACCAGTCCTCAAACTTATGACCATCACAGCATCCCCATGGTCATGTGATCATGATTTGTGAGCTTGACAGTCAGCTTCTGACAAGCAAAATCAATGGAGAAGCTGGCAATAAGTTGCAAGTCACAGTCACATGACATCGCACTTAACCACCATGAGTGGTTTGCTTAACAACTGTAGTGGAGCTGACATTTTAAGTCCAGCACGGTCATGTGATGTTTCACTTAAAGACAGCATAGCTTAGTGATGGAGTTGCCAGTACCTATTGCGGTCATTAAGTGAGGATTACCTGTATTGTTCTCGGCCTGATTGATTGTCTGGTGTTGATCCCTGCTTATCTGAGTGTTGGCTGCTGGAGAGGATATGTTCTAGTCTTTTTGTTTCCTTACTCAGTTTTTTATTGTCTCTTTTGAATGGTTTGTAAATGTGGTTTATCTCTATGTATCTACCGATGACAGATTTGTCTGAATGTGATGCTTCCAGAAATTCCCTAGCATGTTGGATTTGGCTTGATCTAAGATGCTAATAGTTTCTCAGTTGAAACTATGGTTGAATCTGTCCAAGTGTTGTGAGATTAAGGAGTTTTCATCATGCCTTCTCTACTAGTCTATCAAGGACTGTAACAGTCAGAGTGGCTGTTACAGTCCTTGCACTGCATGCTGTAGATGAGTCCTGTTTTTCCTGGGTATTGGGCCTTTTGGTTTGCTTAACATGTTTTGGAGGGCTTTAGCTGGTTTGTGTGCTACAGTGATGATGTGTGATTGTAGTAGTATGTTGGTTTTTTCTGGTTGTGCTGTAGTGGGTTACGTGGTCAGGTACTTTTTGATAAAGTTGCATTGGTATTCATTTTGTTGGAAGATGTTGTATAGATGGTCTGTTTCCACTTTCTGGTGTTTCAGGTTGCTGCAGTGTGTTGTGCTCCTTTAAATAATGTTCTTACACATCTCTTCTTGTGCAAGATTGGGTTGTTACTTTGGTAGTAGAGCAGTTGGTTAGTGTGGGTTGTTTTCCAATAGACTTGGGTTTATTTTTTTAAATTTCATATAATTAATTATGTTTCTTATTATTTTTCTACACTTCATATAAAATCCCTAAGAGGGAATTGATCTAAATATCAATTTAGCAATTATCCCAGTAACAACTCACAGAGTACATCAAAAAAATCCCTTTTTGTGGATTTTTAACTGTGAAGCATTAAATGATGAAGAGTTCTTGGAAAACTAAAAATTTTCATACAATTCTGTCAACCTTTATTTAGCTTAATACTGGTATTGCTCTAATGATATCTAATAATGCCCAAATCCCTTGTTCCATTACACTTGACTCTGAAAAGAAAGTAACTTGGCTTTTGGCCTTACCAAGTCAGCATCTCCGATAAATTTTGCTCTTATATCGAATGACAGCCTTATGGAAGCTTTGTCTCTCAGATGTTGAGCTGAGAGTGAACCAGTCATAAACAGTACTATAGAATGCTGTTATATTTCTGATTGCACTCATGGCATAGGTAAATTAGTTATTACTTCAGCACAAAAATTAACAGGCAGTGTTTTCCCAAGTATCATTAGATTATGGTATAGTGTAATACAATTCCTGGTGATTTCATGGACACATCCATGCAGTTTACTTGACAACAATGTGAAAATAGTTTGTTAATGGTTTCTGCTAGGATACTTTTTTTTAGTTCCAAATCTACCTTATAACCATGGTATTTCCTGGTAGATTCCCACCCAAGCACTAGCCAACTTTGTTTAACAATATAAATCAACTTTCAAACAATCTGCCATTTTCAAAAGTAATATATTCATTTTAAAAAGAATGCAGAATCTGCATGGTTCAAGAATTTACTCTAAATTTTTACTTTAAGTTCCTTGCCAGAATCAGGAAATGAAGTTACAGGTAGTTCTCATTTAGTGACTGACTTGTACAGCAACCGTTTGCAGTTACAATGGTGATGAAAAAGTAACTTCATGACCAATCCTCACATTTATGACCTTTGCAGGTCTGTAAAGCAAAGGAAATCTGAAGTAAGATCATAAGCATGGTCTTGGTTTCACTTAGCGACCGCTTTGCTTAATGACTGAGTTGCCAGTCCCAATTGTAGCTCCTAAATGAGGATTACCTGTACATCTTAGAATAAGGAGCCAAAAATCAAAGAACATTTATTTCTCCATAGTATATCCTTGCCTTCTCTTTCAATCAGAGGTTTAAACAATCAATTCCCAGCTTATTGTTCTATTACCAGGGCTTTTCCTCATTTTCCATGGGCGGTAGTGACTGAGTAAAAAAATTATTACAAGGATATTAAATATATTCAGATAACATGCTGAGATGAGAACTACAAGTAGTCCTTGACTTACAACCATTCATTCAGTGACCGTTCAAAGTTATGGCAGTGCTGAATGAAGGGGACTTACAACCAGTCCCCAAAGTTATGGCTGTTGTACACCCGTGGTCACGTGATAAAAATTCAGGTGCTTGTCAGCCTGCCCACACTTACGACTGCAGGGGCGCTTCAACTTCTCCCACCCATCTCCCCCCATCTATGCCCTTTTGGCCCCCTGCACTCTGCAGCCCCTGCCGCCCTAGCTGACCTTCACCATCTTCTTGCTTCCACTGCTGACCAAGCATGCCCGGCCTGGCCCTTCATGAGGCAGCTGCTGGCTAAATGAGGCTTTCTTCCCAAGGTTGCACACAGCAGTTTACTTGCAAGACATGGGAAAGATGGCCTCACATGGCCAGCAGCTGCCTCACGAAGGGCCAGGCTGCTTTGCATCACGCTGCTGGGCTGGGCATGCCTCATCAGTAGCAGGAGCAAGAAGACGGTAAAGATCAGCTACGGTGGTGGAGTGCAGGGCAGCAGGGGTCTCGGAGTGCAGGGTGGCAGGGGCAACTACAGCTGGGACTGGGCTGGGGTGGCTGAGGCTTCCCAGGACGCTGCAGCTTTGTGCCATGCTGTTGGGGCTTCCTAGGAGGCTGTGCCTTTGCGCCATGCTGCTAGAGCTTCCTGGGACACTGCGGCTTTGCACCATGCTGCTGGGGTGGGGTGGGGTGGCTGCAGCTTCGCACTGCGCTGCAGCACAGGGGCTTCTTGCAGCCCCAGAGCTGCTGCAGTGTGCCAAGAAGGGCCTGAGCTGCAGCATGGTAAGCAGCCCCAGAGCCCCATGGTTCTGGGGTTGCTTGCCACCCCACAAGGCAGGGTGCAGGGTAGCCAAAAGGGTAGAGAGGTAATAGGCAGTTAGGGGGAGAAGGGGAGGCAGTCCCTTACCTTGGAAGAACTGAGGCTTGGGGCTGGGAGGGACCAAGCCCAGAATGGCTTGGATTTAGGTGGGTCCTTGGCTCATGACTGCTGGAGTTCGCTTAATGACAGCAACAGGGAGTGCCAGGGTTGCCATTGCTAAGCAATGCAGTCACATGATGTTGCATTTTATGATTGCATTGCTTAGCAATGGAAATTCTGGTCCTAATTGTGGTCGTAAGTCAAGGACTACCTGTACTATTATTCACCAGACTTCAGTTTGAAAAACTACAACAAAACAAAAAAGACAGATCAAGTCACACAGATTCTAGTATGAGCCTCAGCAAATCAAAATGCATGCCACTAAATAAGTAATAAATACTAAAAAAAAAATGCAAATAAAAAATGTAGGAATATACTGTACACATCTACATTTCCCTGAGGAATGCATGTGTCCTTGGCATGCTGGAGCTCTGCAATTCTAGCTGTGATTAACTGTCTACAACAGCAATGTGAACTTCTTCAGGGAGTGGCAGGGGGAAAGGAAGAGCTGAAATCAGTCTCCCAATGAAAAAGCAATCCCTAATTTTATGGGGACTTTGCACACAGAGTCTATATTGCTGGTTGGAAGTAGGAAATACATTATATACACTAACACTTCTCAACTTACGCACATATATATAGTCAGATAAGGGACATTAGTCATAGTGATATTTGAGGACATTCGTCCTGATTTAATTATATTTATATTCTACTCTCTGCCTCAAGAGTGGGATATTTTACATGCAGTCATATAGATTGTCAAGTATCTGGGCAATATATCAATAATAAACATATAAATATCCAGTATAGATACTTACATCTTCCAGAGCTAACTGTTGGCAAAAAAACAAAATGACATATTTAGCACCTTGGTCATAAATTTGCAATACACCATATACAGCATATACAATGTTATGCAGTTCAACAAATAATCATGTTTATTATCAACCTTTTCTCGATGCCATTGTTTCAGTATTAATGAGCAAGAGATCCATTGCTTAGAAATAATAATGTAAAAGTTGGTTATATACACTTTTAATAATTACCACTCTCACACTCTCAGGCTTCAGTCTTTACCATTTGGGGCTTTCATTAAGGCTCTGACCCAATCAATAAGGTGCACAAAACATACCTTCTTCAGTGATTTTGCTACGTGCAACAAATACCTTCCATAACTATCCAGTCAATGGGAATCAAACACAAGCATAAAGCAAACTCAAGTATGTAAAGTGTGGTCTGAAAATGTCATGGTTAAATTAACAATATTAGTAACATCTTTCAACTCTCTTGATTACTGCACCACAATGTGATATTAACTAACCAAGATTATAAATCATGCTGTTTTGTTTTCAAAGTAAAAAAACAAGGAGCCCTATTCTGAAAGTAGTACAATATTCTACTTTCTACCTCAAGAGTTGGGCATTTCACTTATATTTGCATGCAGTCATAGAAATTATTATTTTAACCCTGCCTTTCCACCAAAAGGAATGTTCAGTCTGGCTAATGTCAACAAAAGAAACAAACAGAAGTTGCTTCTTTATTAGCATGCTAGGTCTTTACAGATAAAAACCCAGTGAAGCCTGAGAAGTACACAGTAGGATCAAGCTTAAAACAACATTAATCAGTTTTTAAAATTCTGGCACCCTTTCTTTAAACAAAGTGAAAAAGATAAAGTGGCGCATATAAAGATTTTAACTTTTTATTGATTTTTAGCTGTTTTACGTTTATGTTTTGTTCTGGACCTGTTGTTACTATGGGTAGAAAAGTGATAGATAGATAGATAGATAGATAGATAGATAGATAGATAGATAGATAGATAGATAGATAGATAGACAGACAGACAGACAGACAGACAGACAGACAGACAGACAGACACCGACCAACCTTTTTTTAACATTCCTTGTGCTGAATATTACCTCTCACAGTAAATCAGTTAAATCTACTTAAATAAGATGATTTGAAGATGTTATGAACTGCATGGATCTTAAACCCTAATTACTTTATTTAAGATCCATATGTATAAAATATTCATTTCAACAAAGATGTAAAAAGCCAAAAAAACGTCATTACATATTGTCCATAATGTCACATGATGTATATACCTTTCAGTCTAAACTGAAATTATAGCACAATTACCGTACTGAAAAAAAATCCTGGACTCCTTCTCAAATTCATATCACATTATCTTCATATGAAATATTTATTTTTATATTTCAATCCTCAAATTATGACCATTCATTCAGCGACCATTCAAAGTTATGATGGTGCTGAACAAATGGATTTACAACTGGTCCTCGAAGCTCCAGCCATTGCAGCATGCCCCCAGTCATGGGTAAGTCTCCCCACCCCTACCCTGGCTTTTCTTCACTTGCCCGCACCATGCCCTCCCTCCCCCCTTCACTCGCATGCAACCCATGCCCCCTTTCCCCAACCTCCCTGAGCTCACTCACATGCACTCACCCTGTGCCCTCTTTCCCAGGCTTCCCTGCACTCGCACACACGCTCGCACGCACTCACCCCACAACCTCTTTCCCGGCCTCCCTGCACTTCCACACAACCCGTGCCCTCTCTCTCTGGCCTTCCTGAGCTTGCCCACACCACAGCACCCCCCTCCCCCAACTTGTGCACGGCCTGTGCTCCCAGACCTTCCCCACCCCCTTGTGCTCCCAGACCTCCCCCACCCCTGTGGCACCCCCACACTCTTTACCTGGGACTCCCTCGACTTCCTGCTTAACAACCCACGCACTGGAGTTACAACAACTAGGACTGCCTGGATTGTCCTCACTAAGCAATGCAGTCACATGATATGACATTTATGACTGCATTGCTTATTGATGGTAATTCTGATCCCAATTGCAGTCATAACTCAAGACTACCTGTAGTCTTCTACTGATAGCTGCAAAAACTGAGTGTTAAGAAGTTTCTTCTTTTTCCTCTCCTGTTTCTTACATATCCATGAAAGATTTGTAGTAGCTTCAGATTATATTTTTGCCTCTTTATCTAGTAATATCAGCTAATCACTTATACAGTGGTACCTCTGGTTACGAACTTAATCCGTTCCGTGACTCTGGTCGCAACCCGAATTG